TGACTTAGACATCATCTGAGTCTCCTTACTACTCAGCTTATTTATCTGTCTGTACTGGTCACTCTCACTGACCTCTTAGGTATTCACTGGACTGTGCATTTGTAACTGTGAGTTCCTGGAGGGCAGAAGAATGCCTAAGTGCATTTGGAGCCATAATAAATGTTTTTCTTGTTCCAAATACCTGTCATAAATCTTTCTTTAGCAATTATACACTGTTCAGAAGTCACACAAGGTGTGGCAGACTGTAGTTACAGGGAAGCCTGTCAGTCTAGACAAATACCATTCTCCTATATAGAACTAGATTCATTTTTCTTTCCAGGGGAACCAAGATATCTTCAGCCAAGAGAATGTGTATAAGTTTTACCAAGTGACTCTTGAAGCTAGGTCAGAGATTGGATGCAGATGCTCTGTGTGGTGCTTTCCTGGGGGAACTGGGCTACCAAGTTTGAGAAAGCATAGAACACATGTGTCAAGGCCAGAGACAGAGGCTGGGGTGCTGATTCCAACTAAAGACCCAATAACACCAAGCATCAGAGTGGAGGATGCTGCAGTGTCTTTTAGTCCTGGCTCCAAGCTGCCTAGCAGGTGCCCATCGGAGCAGAGACCCCTGTTCCCACCAAGCACTGCCTAAGCTGCAGTGGAGGCAAAATGAATGTTGTGTTAGGCACTGAGTTCCAGGTCAATCTTTTTGAAGCAGTGGCTGACCAGCTGGTGCTCTGAAGACACAGACACAGAGGAGATGTGTGATGTTCAAGGCCACCTTCCTTCCACCTAGCCAATTTTGCCACCAGCCAAGCCAGGAGTCCTTTACCAAGTCTTTTGGCTCCTGCAAGTATTCGTAGATCCTTCCCTTTGAAAAGAGAAAACCGTTTGTTTCAAATTTGATTGTCACCCTCAGTGTATATAGTATCTGCCTTTAATTCAGTCACCACTCTGTTTCCTACAGTTATTTAATGTATATAGATCACTTTCTTATCTCTCCTTTCATTGTTTGTTTATTTGTATGTGTGTGTGTGTGTGTGTGTGTGTGTGTGTGTGTGTGTGTGATTATTTGGAGCGAGAGAGAGAAAGAGAGTCAGAGTGATAGAGAGACAGAGAGAGATAGAGAGACAGAGAGATTATGTGTGTGTGTGAGTCTTCTGGACTCTTGTCACTCAGGCTGGACTTGAACTCACTCCATAGCCTAAGATGACTTTGAACTTCCGGTCCTCCTGCCTCATCCTCCCAATTACTGAGTTACAGATGTACATCAGCCATATCTAATAAACTCAGAGCTTCATGAATACGAAGTCAGATCTAAATAGAACTCTGCCATTTAAACGTAAGAAGAAAACACAATACACACAAATGTGCACACATGTGTACACACACACATGCACGTGCACACACAGATTGCAAATTTGTTTAAGGAAATACTAATGGCAGATACTGTCTTTACATATCATTATTAAATGTAAACCATTCCATAGGTTTCCTTTCCTTTCTTCCATTCTCCAAACATTTCTGAGGTCTTATTTGGCTCACATTTAGTCTTCTCTGCCTCTTTTTTGAGACACAGTCTTGCTATGTAGCTCTGGCTGTATTTTAACTCATGATCCTCCTGCCTCAGTTCCCCTTTGCCCCTCCCAGTCCTGGGATTACAGATATTGTTCAGCATGCCCAACTTATTCAGACCCTTCATGTCATATCCTGTTTTACATCATAATTATTTATGTGTGCATTTCCATTTTGCACCCTGGATTATAGAATTACCTCTTCCTAGACACTGAAGACTATGACATTAATCCCTTTTGTTTTTTCTTGCCTCTCTGGGTATATATGGAACACTTCCCAGCTCAATACGTGTAAAAAGTCATGTTCACCCACCATGGAGGCTGTGTTTAGAGATTTATAAAGGCAGAAACCAAAACAAAGCAGACAACAGAAATTAAAAAATTAACTCTTACAATCACAATTGAATCAATAAAGGCTGTGGGCACATCTTAGGTTTTGTTTGTTTGTTATTTCCCCTTTTCTTTCCTTACTTAAAAATATCTTTTCTGATGTTTAAAACTATCAGATGCATAAATACCTGCTGGTAACTTGTTAAAGATGGCTTTTTTATTTTTTAAATGATCTAACTTTCTTATTTGTGTATGCTTTTTAGAAGGGATGGGGAGACCATCTGAATGAAGATTTCATATTGATCTCAATTACAGCTGCAGGCTCCAGCTTCAAATTGATGCTTGATCAATATGGATCAGAGGCAGTTTGGAGCATTAAATAAGACCTTGTTAGGGTGATATTTTTTCTTTTATTTGATTTAATTTGGAAGCACATGGAGCTGGAAGGATGAGAGGGAAGATAGGTATGGACATCAGTCAGTTCCTAGAGCATCCGAATGTGCTTCCGCACCGCATCCTATAGGTAGTGGTCCTGGAGGAGTGGCAGCACACTAGATAGCACCAATTATGACTGTGCCATATACTCATGAGGCTCTTGGCTTATGTGTGTGGTATATTGTTAAAACATTCTTTGGGGGGGATGGTGAAATGATTCAGTTAGCAAAGCATTAGCCTCGGAAGTGTGAAGACCTGAGTTCTGACCTCCCAGAACTCACATTAAAAAGCTGGGCAGAGAGGAACATGTTTGTAATCCCAGGAATGGAGAGATGGGGGTGAGGTGTGGGTGGAAACAAGCAGATCCTTGGATGCTACTAGGGTCTGCTAGCCAGGCCTGTGTGGTAGTTACAGGCCAATGAAAGACCCTGACTCAAACAAAAGGTTGAAGGTGCCTGAGGACTGACACCTGCGGTTATGCTGACTACCACATTTGTGTACTAAAATGCATAAACACACACACACATCATATCCTTTTCAAGCTGTGTGTGGTGGTAGTATCACAAGAATGATTTCTAGGCAACATATTAAAATTTTTCTTCTTTGAAACCTTCTGAGCTAGCCCCCCCCCCCAGCTGAAATCATTCTTAGCACCACTGTTCTCCATGCTCCTAGTGGTACGCGCTCAAAGCATCCCCTCACAGTAGGCTAGGCCTCCCATACCCATTATGAATCAAGACAAAGCCCCCATCAGATTGGCCTGTAGGAAAGTTTGTGAGATATTTTCTTTGCTGAGGTTTTCTCTTCTAATATATGTCAAGTTGAAACAAACTAACAAATCCCAAAACTAGTGAGGACACTTGGTTACAAGAGTGACTCAGTGCACATATACGGGCATTCCTTCTATCACACACCTAACATAACACAAGGTGACACCAAGATGACCCCACGATACCTCTGTTCCCTGATTCAGATGGTCTCTAAACCTCACCCAGGAGCAGACATTCAGGAATCCTGTTTCTGGCTAATATGGGTATCTATACTCCTAGGATTGTTCTGTGGGACTCTGAGACTCTCCCCAGACAGAGCTGTATGGGATGCTCAATAATATACCAACTTAATTGTTTTTCATTTAGTTGAAAAGTAAATACAATATGGAAGTTTAGAGCCAGATTGTTATTAAATTATTATTTTCATTTTCATCTTCTTTCAATAATTGTTATTAGTGATAATTATTTAATTAACTGTGCTTTAGTACAGCAATTCTCAGCCATAGCTACACATTAGAATCACCTGGGGAACCACTTAAAAACACTTTTGGGGGCTCCACTCTAGGCCAATTAAATCAGTTCATCTGGGCATAGCAATAGGGCTATGATGCTCCTCAAAGCTCCCCCGAGTTAGTTTCTAACATACAATTGCATTTGAGAACCTATAGGTCTAATGGTTGGGCCGCTCACCAACAATGCCTTTTAAGCTCATTCATTGCATTTTTGAAAAATTTGCTTAAAACATACCAAAATCTACATTACATAAAATATACCATTTTTTTATCTTGAAAAGTAAATTTGATTCAATTCCATGCAATCATCACCATTGTACATCTTCAGAAGTTCTTTTGTTTTACAGAATTGAAGCTCATGTTCACTGAACACAAATTCCCCACTGCCCTTCCTCTCTGTCCTATGTCCATGAATTTGAGTCCAGGCACCTCCCAAAGTGTGACACACATGGAATAAGTGGGTTTTAATTTGTTTTCTCATTGACAGTATATTCTCCAGACTTGTTCCTCCTGGGGTATGCTCTTTGCCCTTGAACTTCAGTGATTTATAGGGCTACATCTGAGAGTGGATCCCTCCAAAGCTGTTTTCTCTAGGTATCGGTGACCCACTTTACTATGGAGGTACAAGATCTTCTTCCTTTAAGGACAGTTGTATCCCAATGTTTAACTTTTGTTCTTAATTTGCTTGGCCATTCTCTTCTGGCTTGTCTATCCCGCATATGCAGTAGGTATTTCCAAACAGCCATGTGCTGAGTCACACACAATCTAGTTGGATCATATATTTTGGAAGGTCAAAGATGGGCATCCAAGTAGTTAAACTTCCCTAGATGATTCTGCTATGTCAGAAACATTGGACACACTGATGGAGCTTTCTTGGGTGTGTTTTTTACAGCATCTTTTGTTATTTGGTTCAAGGTTCTGTGGCATTAAAGATTGCTCTCAGGTAAGCCAAGTCTATAACCATGGTTTTGTATTTCTTTTCATTGTAACAGGCTCTTTGGTAGAGTAGGCTAGCCTCAAACTTGCTATGGGGCTGAGGTTAACCTTGGACAATTGAGCCTCTTGACTCTGCTCCCAGGGTGCTAACATAAATGACATTTGTTACCATGCCTGAATGTAATCAAGGGACTTTGTGGATGCTAAGGAGCAGTCTAACAACTGAGTTACCCCAAAGCCTGCACTATATTTGTTAAGCATCATGCAGACACTCCCCTCCATGCCCAGCTTCTGTATGGATTGGCTTTGTTTCTCACCTCATCCACTTCTTCAGTGCCCATATTTTACTTAAGAAGACACTTCTGTGTGCCTTAAGAAAGTCTTCCCAGACTCAGTTTTCCTTAGAATCACCCATATCCTTCTCCCGGAGACTCAAACTTACTACTTTCTCCTGGGACCAAGAAAGCACTTGTGTTTGTGTTTGTTGAACGGGTGGAAAAAACATGAAAGTCAGGTGCAAAAATGAATCCTCTCGCAACCCAGAACTCATTGTTCAGCATGAGTTTTGAAACCTGAAAGAAAGAATATGATAGTCAAGAAAGCACAAAGTGATGACGTATTTGATAATGAGATTGGTTCTAAGAATAGAGCAAAACAAAGGGCTGGAGAAATGGCTCATTGGTTAAGAGTGCTGGCTGTTCTTGTAGCAGGATGCAGCTTTGATTCCCAGAGCCTACATGGTGGTTCTCAAACTACCTGTAATGCTAGTTCCGGGGGAATCTGACACCCTTGTTTGACCTCTGTAGGCACTATGCACACACATAGTGCACTTATGAACATTCATGTAAAACACACATACACATAAAAGCTAAATACATCTTTAAAAAATGAAATAAAACAAAACAGGAACATGAAAGATAACATAAAACATCTTCAGCACTCCCCAGGGCATACAAACTGCAGCCTTGTCTGAGAACCTCCTCTTCTGTGATGACAGCCACTGCTCTCCTGCTCTCCTGCTAATGGCTTAGAGACTTTCTTTAAACAAAACCTACATCTCTTTTGAGGGTATCTGATTCAGTCTGTCTCAGGTAGAGCCTGTGATTCATGTTTCTTCTTTATGCATTTTATGAAACTTTTATATTTCAAACTATATAGTCACCAAACACTTAGACATCAAAATTCGTGGCACTGGCACCCACAGCCCCTTCTGCTGTCTGCACCTGGTTTCTGTCCTCTGCAGGTCCTTCCCATTCTCCAGAACCCATGTTCTCCTTTTCCCTTTCAGGTACCCTCTCTCCTTTGCAGGAGCCTTTTTGGATTGGGCACTGGCTTTGGAATAGCACACTTCGCAGACAATCCCCTGAGTTATCTCTGTGGCTTTTCCTTCACCCTTGCTTTCTCTCCTGTATTACTCCTTCCAGCCTTTCTTTTGGGCAAAGCAGCAACAGGCAAGACACAGGTGCTAAATGTGAGGATGGGAATTCAGTGGGGTTGCTCTCAACTCTTCCGATGTTCAGGGTTTTCTTTTTAGAACTGGGACTTTTTCTTTCTCTGTTTTCTTTTGAATTTTTTTTCCGTACAATACATTTTGATCATTTTATTCCCTCTCCCCCAACTCTTCCTGGATCCTCCCCACCCACTCACTCAATTTCATGTTATTTCTCTTTCTCTCTCCAAAAAGGGAGTCAAATAAACAAATCAATTAAAACAAACAAACAAAAAAAAAGCATGTGCATCTTTCTTTCTGATGTACATTTGGTAGGCTTTCATAGTAAATTTTAAAAGTTTTCTTGGTAACTAATAAAACTAGCATGTAAAATATTAGTAAAGACATAAAGTAATTGCCATCATATTAAAATCTTGTCTTAATTGTTACATGTAGAGGATTAAATCTATCTGCTATAGAGATGCATAGCTACATGTTCAAGAAATATTTCAAAATTTGGTCACATAAAAAGCCCATAAGACAAATCTTAATGTAATCTGAATTTTCTTTCTTTTCTTATTTAAAATTAATTGTTTACTAACCTGGGCTCATAGGAGCTCCTGGAGTCTGACCAACAACCAGGGATCCTGTATGGGTTCTTTGAATATATATCACAGTTATGCAGCTTAGTCTGCTTGTGGGACTCCTAACAGAGGGAGCAGGGGCTGTCCCTAATGCTTTGACTGCCTCTTGGGAACCTATTCCTCATACTAGTTTGCCTTGCTCCACCTTTATACAAGGGGAAGTGATTAGTTTTACCACAACTTGATATGCCATGCTTTGTTGATACCCATGGGAGGCCTGTCCCTTTCTAAACTGAAACAGAGGAGGAATGGATGGGATGGGGGGAGGGAAAGGGATGAGATGGGGAGGGGGATATAATTCATGTGTCTAACAAGTTCCAGGTACTACTGTTGCTGCTTCTGTGGAGGTGCTGTTTCAGATTCTGGGCTGGGGTATAGTTGGGCCTGAGTTACTCAGCTCCTTTCTCAATCTTCTCCACACATGATACATTGGCTTTATCAGTCTGGGGAACATGCCTGTTTGTGTATATCTTGCATGCATGCATTGGATGTAGAGGTTTGGACACTATACATCATAAGAACTCAGATCTGGCTGGACTTTTTGGAGTAATATTTGTTGTTAGTCAGTAATGCAAGATGTAAAAATGGAAACGAGCACTGGTGTGTTCTAACCAGCTCAAATCCATGATAATATGTCATCCTGATAGTGTAAAGAGGCGGGATGAAGGGCTGGAGAGATGGCTCAGCAGTTAAAATCAGGCACTGCTCTACCAGAGCTAGAGTTCTAATCTCAGTGCCTGAATCAGGTGGCTCACAAACACCTATAACTCTAGCTCCAAGGGATACAGGCACCTGCACACACGTCATACATACATACATACATACACACACACACACACACACACACACACACACACACAATAATTTTAGGAATAAAACAACAGAAACAATAACAATGGAGGGATGTCTAAGATGATTAGTGACATTATTACCTGGATAGAATTTATGACAGATAGACTGTGTTCTACCTGATTTCCTTCCATTTCATGTGTGTATGCTTGCCTGTTGGCCACATTAGGCAACATCTCTGGGACCTTCTCTGTATGCTAGCCCCATGCCCTTAGACTTGCCAGCCTCCAGAACAGTGAGCAGGTTAAGTTCTCCTGCTTACAGTTTGCCTGGACTTAAGTTCTGCTTCAGTGTCAGAAAACAAAGACAAACACCAAATATCAGATGGAATGTGGCTAACCACAAACTCCCAAAACACTCCTTGTCCCTGCTCTACTTGCCAATGCCTTCAATTGCCATGGCATGGAAAGAGAGATGGATCTGGGAGTTTCTTTGGCACAGAGCATTTCGTGCCTTGAGTGCCATTGGCGGTTGGCTATGGCACCCAAGCCTCAGCACAGGCTTTCTTCCCTCTTTGTGATTCTGATTTAGTCTTAGGAACATGACGACCTCTCAGAATACGTTGGAAAGTTTCTGAATTATTTTCTGTGCAGTAACTTTCACAGGGAGGTATTGGCTCTGATTTCTGTGTGCTTCCTCTTTTGGGAACCATAGACATTTTGCTTGCTTCTAGTACTTTCTTTCTCTTGATGTCCTTCCAAAAGGAGCTCTATGCTTTCCTAACACTAGAAGATCCTCTATCTGATGTATTTCAAAGTTCCTAGGGAAAAGTAACTTCTCAAAATTCTCTTCAAAGTTAGTTTTTGCCAGATTTCTGCTCTGCTGGTTGTGGACTTCAAGCAGCCTGTGAGTGTAGGAAGTATGCCAAATACTGAGAAGCTGATCGTGTCAGAGGGTTCTTGTGCATCTGGGCTGACTACTAATAGAAGGCTAATTGTGTATGGACACTCCATCTTCTCTTTAGTGAGGTACATTATACCCAGAAACAGATCAAGGCTCATGCCACTGAGGTCTGCCTGGGATTGACACTGACATTCCTGCATCTACCACAACAATGATTGGAACTATGTGCTCTGACCTTGGCTCATCCTACCATCACCTCAGGTCCTCATCACTCCCTGGTATCCCCTGGGTGAGCTGTTTCCTCTCAAGTGTGAGGAAAAGTAAACCATAGACTAGGAACAGTTTGACATGGTATATAAAAGCTTAGATGCTAAATATTTTAAGTTTTGCAAGAGAAATGATCATTGAAGCTATCTGTGTCTGCTACTATGATGACCAAAACAAGTTATGAACAACACATGTTGTGTGACATGCTGTCTTCTGAGATTATCAGCCATTGCCATCTTCACCAGAGCAGTTGTGAACACTTGATAGGGTCTGGTGAAACCAGGCCAATTGGATTCCTTCTTAGAGGGAAAGGCTAGGGGAGGGTCATCAGGCCCACTTACCTGAGATCAGAAAGTACCCTTCATCCATGTAAATAACCTAATAGACTCTGGTTCACCAAGTGTACATTGATGGAATCATTGCCTTGGTCTGAATGATGCCCTAATGAAGGGTTTGGGGGGCATGCATTGCTTACAACAAGCCCATGAACAGGTAGAGGGATGAAGGGAAGGAAGGGAAAAGGGGACAGATGAAGGGAACATCTCCAGAGAAACAAAGCATGAATTTTCTTCCTGGGACTATGCAACACAAAAAAGTCTAGCTAACATATTAGTGTCACCTCCTCCCTGAATGCCCCTGTGATTTTTCCTGATCACGGTGTCCTTCCCAAGGATAAATAAGCCATCCCTCCTCTGCTCAGCACCATAGTGTGGTTCCCATGGCAATATTTTAAGTCATACTGCATCCTACATCCTATAGATGGGCAGGTTCCTCTCTTTCTGAGTACTCTCTCCTGATTGTTCTCCCTGTCTACACCATTACCAAGCTCAGCCCCTCCTTACACCTCTGGAACTTGATTTTACTTCTGTCTGAATTCCACCCCTTATAAATATAAGGCTGCCCTTATATTTGAATGAAACCATGCATCTTGCTACAGAGCTCATTTCAAATGTCTGTCCATTCACTTTCCCATCTTTGTTGGAAGTACTGGGGATTAAACTCAGTGCCTTGTACATACCGGCTTGTGTTCTGTCATGACTCACATCCTTAGTTTTTCAGACTATGCCTTTCCCATAACAGTGTAAATTTCTTGAGATGATTATTTTATAATAATGATCCTTAACCAAGAAAATATATTTGGTTTTGTTATGGAAGTGAGTTTTTAATTTGATGATAGATGGGTTCTACCATGTGAATTCCCTTCTGTGTGGTGTGGAATCAGCAAAGAAGGGGGCTGCAGAGATCTTAGATGCTGGGAACTCCTCCCTGAGGCAGCTCACAGACTTAGCTGGGGCAAGGATGGACCTCCAGAATCCAACTTCCTTCATAGAATGGTGATTTAAATGTTTCCTGCAAATCTTTGGTAAATAGTATCAAATCGTATCCTGCATCAAAATCAGAATGACCTTGTGATACAAAGTTTCTATTATTCTGTTTGTGTTAAAGGAATGGGTCCATGGAGGTTAAGCATGCTGTACAGTTGCTGATAGTGAAGTTCCTACAGAGTCACTGTGGCCAATCAGGTTCAGCCACTCAGTTGTGCTATGTATTAATATG